TTTTTTTTTTTTTTCAGACTACAGGGTGTCAGGTAGTCCAGGCCGGTTTTAGGGACAAATCAGCCACAGACCGGCTTCCCCTCCAGGAGGAAGGAGCTGCTGCCCACCACGGCGCCAGGGCGTCAGCACTCACGTCTCTGGCGCTGGGTGCAGGTGAGGCCGGGGATGAGGAGAGATGAGCAGCCGCGACAGAGCGTCCTCTTCACCGAGGGGTCCCTGGGGGAAGAGCAGAGGCCGTGGGCGCCGGCTCGCCCGGGTCCCGGCTCCGCCCGCCCGCTCGCCCTCTAGCCCGCGCCTTACTGCCGCAGGACCAGCCGCTTCGCGATGGTCTTCTCCGTGTGGCAGTAAAACCTCGCCAGGGCCTGGTTCTCCGGGTTCTGCGACAGGACGCAATGTGCAGCCTGGGGACAAGAACGGCAGCCCGGGTCATTCCGCGGCCGCAGCACCGGACCGCCCGCCCGCCCGCAGCGTTGTCTCACCTGGTACAAGAAGCTGAGTCTCTGGAAGGCCTCCCGGTCCTTCACTGGGCCCGCCATGAGTATCCGCCCCTCTCGGCGGATGCCCCGCCCCAGACCCGCGCAAGGCCTGCCGGGAACTGTAGTGTCAGGCACCACCCGCCCTGTGCATCCTTGCCTGATGGAGGCCCCAGTTTGGTATTCCTAATGTATTTATTAGGTAGGGCCCCGCGGGGCTAGTGGAGCAGGTAAAAATCTCAAAACAGGGAAATACTTCCAGGACGGACGTCTAGACTTGTCGTGTACGGAGAGGACTGTGTGCAGTATACACATCAGGCTAGACCCTCTTACTCTCCTGAAGCCAAAGACAGATGTCTGGAACATCCGTGGACTGATGTAACACACCAAAACAAGCAATGTGTAGCTTCGCGTTATATTTGTTATCCCAGCACTTGCCGCGAATTACATACAAAGTCAAAACGGGCCACCAGGCTGGACCCTGGCTCAAAACCAGAAAGAACTGGTACCTGTAAGGCTCAAAGTGGGAAAGGTCATTGTCATGAGGGAGGGATACGGAAACTGGACAAAACGTCCCTGAGGAAAGAGTTTGCCCTCAGGAGAAACAATTTTCTCCCACTTTCCCACTTATTAAAGAAGACGCTTGCTGTTACAGTACTGGCCACATGGCAGTTTCTATGGCACAGAAACCTGCCAACACTATGGCCTCTCTCTTGCTAACCATTACTAACTATTCCCTCTTAATGGCTGAGCACACCCAAGGTCAGAAGCAGAGGGATTGGAGCTGAATCCAAAGTTGAGGACTTCAGGGGACATCTCTTCCTGTCACCAGGCTCCTGCCAGGATATCCAGGTGGAGAACCAGGCTTCAGGCTCAGAGTAAGGAGATTAGCTGAAATTTACCCTGGGGGTGGTGTTTTGTGAGGGCCTACCGAGTCAGATGAGGAGTGTGGTGGAATGTAGATTCCTAGACCTATCCAAACCTCCATTAAGGACAGAGGGTGAGACCCAAGAACATGTATTTTTCATAGCCAGTGAGTCTCACATAAGGCCACTGCCAAATCACCACACAACTCAGATCACATCAGTGGATCCTTTGTTCCATATTTTGACCAACCAAATTATCTTGCCACAAAGAACCACAGTCAAGGCACAAAGGTAAGAAGAGAGTGGACAATGTCCTGTTGAGGTGGGAGAACGGAAATGCCCTCGATGCAGTTTCTCGTCTCAGTCTTGTACCCAAGCAGCAGGTAATCCAGGTTGTTTGGTTTGGCATGCATCTCATCACCTTTTGTGACAACATATGTACCCTATGGGTTGTTTATTTTGGCCTAACTTAAAATGATTTACATTCTCTGAAAAGGGGAATGTCAAAGGATGGTAATAGAGGCGAATGAAGCTGTCTCTCTGGGCCTTTTGCTACAAAAACTACCCTCTTCTACCCTGTTCTCACGGGGCGAGAAAAACTCCATGACCTTTCTTCCTTTCTCGCTTAAACACCTAAGCCAGGGGTCATGGCAGACAACTTGGGAATAACTACTTTTAACATCTTTAAGGCCAGGGCTTTGGACACACCATTCTCTTTCCTCCAATAGCTGACTCTTCCCCAAGTTCCCTTGGGAAAACTGTGGAAGGGCAGATGCCTGTGTCCTGTAGGATCACTTCCATCTCACCTCCAGAGGGGAGAAAGGTGGGCCTACTTCTTGGAGACACCCAACTGCAGGGTCAGGGAGAAACTGGGTTCTCCTTTCTGCCTCCCTTATCCTTCTCCACAAACTCCAACCTCTGGCTAATCCTATGGGTAATGGTAACATTACCCTAGGAAGGGAAAACCAAAGAGATCCCCCTCTTCTTCAATTCCTTTCTAGAGGGTCCCGTTATCCTCTTCCCTGATCCTACTCCTGAACTGAATGCCCAATCTCTGCCCTCAGAAAAGCCTCTCAATTCTACAATCATAACAGCAGCAGCCACTCATCTTTCCAACACAGAGGTACACAAATCCCTATGTGCTCCCTCAAGGACAAGGCTACCCTTGAGTCACAGAAGCCTCTTAAAGGTTTCTGTCTCCTGCACTTTAAGCAAGTTAAGACTCTTTCATGTCGACTTTCTATTTCTAGAGAGGCCTTTTCTTTACAATCAGTCATTGTGCAGTAGGAAACCTGCTGGACTTCAGAGATTACAATCCCCTGGGGCTCACTCTCCCACTACAGTTAAGTAGGGACACTCATCTGTGCTGTCAGGCAGCCCAGTCCTGTCTCTACTCGTTCACACAATGCATCCCAGAGACCAGGTGGTTTCTCAAGATGGCTGAGGACTGGAACCACGTTGACACCAAGCTATCCCAGCAGGTCACAGTAAGGAAGACCTGTTGTCACTCTTCACCCTGCCTCACCCCAATTAGGCTCCATGTCTTGTCACTCCCAATCTGTTGGGGGCCTGATAGTAAGTGGTGCAGCATTCTTCCGGCCAGCCCGGATCCCTGGGTAGAAGAGGGGCCAAAGTTTTTCAGTAAAAGTGTCAGTGAAGGTATAGATATGTGAGCGGTCCGTGACGTTGTAAAAAGACAATGTGCCGGCCTCATAGTCTAGGAATATGCCCACCCTCTTAGGTTTCACCTTGATGTGCAAAGGAGTGAAAGGTGTGGTGGTGGCTGCATACTTGTCCCCATTCCACAGCCGTATTCTCCAGTAGCCAGTCTCAGGGAGTGGAGTCAATTCGCCCTTTCTGCTCACAGAGTCCCGGCATACTCCCACTGCCCAGTGGGTCTTGTCTCCCACCTCCACCTCCCAGTAGTGTCGACCTGAGGTGAAGCCTTCAGTAGCCAAGACACAAGGGTAGAAAGTGAAACGCTGTGGTGTGTCAGGGAGGTCTCTGCGTCTTGTCTCCACAAACTTGACACTCTTCCGATCCTCTGACAGAACAAGGCAAGGATGAGCCGTCTCAGGGTCCAGGGTCACATCCGCTGGCGGGAGAAGCCAGAGTGGGGAGCTAGATGAGGATGGGAATAGCCAAACACCCCTGCCTTGCTTTCCTAGCCTGCCTGTACAAAGCTTGGCCCATGAAAGGTCCCCAGAACACTGTAGGTTGGTTAAGTTTCTCAGATCATGCTGGCTCTTGTTGTATTGAAGAAAGAAAAAAAAAAAAAAGTCACTGTCTGAAGGAGGCAGGGAGGGAGGGCCAGAAAGAAGGCTTCAGATCAAGTGAACTGCAAGTGTGTGCTGGGGACAGGGTGAGCATGGTCTTGAATCCTGTAACAGTCCTGCTCTGTGACTGCTTTTCTCTACATAAATGTTAATGATGTTTCCTTTGGTCACTCCCTTTGATTGATGCGTCAGGAACCCTTTAAAGTTTCTAGGTCCCTAGAGAGCAGATGACACCTAAGCGTTCTTACCTCAAGTCTATGATTTAAGGTGGGGCAGGGGGGGACTGGCACTAGAAAGAGGAAGAGGAAGCCAACTCCAGGGCTCTGAACCTTCCACTCCTCTGCATGCCCTATGCCAGTTTCCTTTGGGGAACAACTCACCAATTAGCTGTTTGAGGATTTTCCTGAGGGCAAAATACTGCTGTGATAAATTACTGAAGTTCTTTTCCAGCTCTATAGATACTGTTGTCACCTCCATGGTCTTCACCTTGTCACATCTGGGAGGGATGGGAGATAAAGAAAGCAAGGACAGGGTCAGGGAGAGCCCCAGCCGAATGATCATGTGAGTGGTGTGGTGTGTTTTCTGGAGAAAAGTGGGACAAGGCCTCTCCCACAGTCTTTCTCCTTGAGGACAGCAGCCTCCTTTTTTTATTATCCCTGGAGAGCTACGAGGTGCTCTTGACAGGCCTGTCTCTTGAGAGTGAGCCTCAGAACTTCAATGGAATATTCCTACATCTCATGCAAAGGGACAGCCACCTCTCCACTGCTCGTACTCCTGTGCTCCCAACCCTTCCACCATCTTGTTTGCACACAGCCCCACCCACAGGCTTGGCAGAATCTGGCTCCTCATTATCACTGCTCTGACCAGAGGTGACCTGATGTCAAAAGGGAGGTGAAGTGTCATCACTCCTAATGGGTTTATCCTTCTTCACATCTCACTAAGACACTGTATGGATTTCCCTTTGTTACTTCCTCCAAGTCACTACTAACCCGTAGCTTCCAAACCAAGACCTAACTCAGACAGTCACTTACTTTTCCAGGGTACTTTTCACATCCTAGAGGAAAAGAGAAAACAAAGTAAGATTGGTCCTAGAATTCATGGGTCATGAAGGCAAACAGGTTCTCCCTCCTCCCCAACAGTGCTAGGTCTTTAAACTAGGCACCAGGCAAACTGAGGGCCCAGTGCAAGGGGCTTGCTTCAGAGGGACCTGAGTGTGTGTCTGTCTCTCATGGAATGCCCAATTCCAACTGCTGGTCATAACAAAGCTTGATAGTTAATAGCACTTCCAAATCATTTCCTGTACTTGTGCTTCTCTTCCTCAAAGACACTGGAGGCTCCCTGTAGGGGACAGAGGTTGTGTCTGCTCTTTTGTCCCCCAGATTCCAACCACACACCTCAGCATCACTGAGAAGCAGTGCAGACAATTCCAGACTGGTGGCACAGGATGCTTCCCACTGTGTTCTGGACATCCCTGCCTAGCACTGATAAACACCAGTTTATATCAACTCTGATTTAAGACTATTTGGGATCCAGATGACAAATACAACAAATCTCATCCCTGCAGAATTTCAAGTTTAATGCAGTAAGCAGAGCACACACAAATGAAAGCCAAAGGGATAAATACCATGGAACATATAATACACATGAGTGTGCATTGATACTTCAATTGAGGTAGTGGTCTTATCTGAAATGAGAAATATGCTTGCTACAGCCTTGTCATCATCACGTACCTGAAGATGGACTGTATCAAACGTTTCAGAGGTAGCAATGTACTACTTTACTACTTAAACATTCTGAGTATCCTTTAAGTTATGCTTCTATTTCCCCTGCTTTAGTACTAGGTAAATTAAGTTCTAGGACTGGAAAGTAAGGGTAACTGTATTTACAAATATGGGAACACACAAGGTATCACTAAGTAGAATGGACTTCTGGAAAGGATTACCTTTTGGGAGGTATAAATAACATGCATAAAAAAAAGAGTTATTACATGTGTGTGAGTGTCTTGTTGTGTGTATATATCTGTACCATGTGCAGGCAATGCCTACAGAAGCCAGAAGAGGGCGCTGAAATCCCAGATGCTGTATTTTCAGATTGTTTTAAGTTGCCAAGTGGGTGCTGAGAACTAAACCTGGGTCCCCTCCAAGAGAAGCAAGTGCTCTTAACCACTGAGCCATCTCACTAGCTCCAAGCATATAATTTCTGAAAATACATGAGGATATAAATAAATTTTGGCAGGGGTGGTGGATGTGCCCTACTCTAGAAAAAGGTTATCTGCACACATATGAAGAGAAAGCTGGGCTTAGGGGAATAGAGTAAGAGAGGGGGCTCCCCATGCTGATAGGATGGACTGCACAAAGCTAGACTGCATCTGACCCGAGGAACTATACAGGAGCAAGGTTCGAACCTTAAGCATCTCGAAGCCTGACTGTAAGCACTTGCCCTCCACTTCAGCAGCTAAGTGGGCCAGATCTCGGCGCTTGGCCCCAAGGTGAGCAGCATTTTCTCGAAGCCTCTGTAGAATGTCCTGCTCTTCTTCTTCCAGTCTGGAAAGGAGAGTCTGCTGTTCCTCATCCAGCCTCCTGTGGAGCTCTTCAAACTCCTTTAGGATTTGCTGTCTGCGGCTCTCCACTAGTCTCTGAGAACAAGGGAGGATGCTGTCAGGACCAGGAGGCCTGAAGGAGCCTCTCCCAGACTCACCAGGCTCAGTACAGACTTCCTTGTCACATGGAAGACCTCAGCAGTGTTCATGTTTCTCTCCCTGTGAGGCAAGTAGTCACCTGCACACCCTCCAAAGGATGACTTGATAGTTCAAATCAGTGGGAAGATTTAAAACAATCAATACTTTACTTTTTTGTTTTGTTTTGTTTTTTTTTTTTAGAGACAGGGTTTCTCTGTGGCTTTGAAGCCTGTCCTGGAAGTAGCTCTTGTAGACCAGGCTGGCCTCGAACTCACAGAGATCCACCTACCTCTGACTTAGTATTGCTGGGATTAAAGGTGTGCACCACCAACGCCCGGCAATACCTGACTTTTTTAAACCTAAATTAAACTTTTATATTTTAATAAAATACATTCAAAATTCAGGAACTCAATGATGTGATGATATTCACTGTTTTCTACTCTGATGTTTGGCTTATACAGTCTGCTAAAATACAACCAAAGATTTCCATCAATAATAACCATGACACATTAATCTGATAAAAACCAAGAACAGATAGCTACTACAATCAGGATCAGTTTAATGAGTTGATGCAAAGTATTTATTTAGACTTCAGGGTTGAACTTGTTTTGTTTGCTGTTTCTATTTGTTTGTTTGTTTTTTTGTTTTGTTTTATTTTCCAAATGGTGTCTTGTAAAGCTAGCACAAGCTAGCTTTGAACTTGGGAATCCTCCTGCCTTACCGCCATGTACCATCTAAACATGTTAAACATTTTAAGTCATTTCTGATGGGTTGAGGATTCCCGGGAAGAAGCAATGTCTTGGAAGCTAACTGATTAGATCTGCAGTGATGTGGAGAGAGTCTGGCCTGTTGCAGGCCAGGAGCCTAGTTACATTTTGTTTTGGGCTATGTTAGGCTTCCAAGTAGCCTTTTCCATGCCCACCTCTGTGCTGGACTTAACATCCTGTGATTAGTAGATAAAACATGTATTAATTTAAGAAATACTGGGGCTGGATAGATGGCTCAGAGGTTAAGAATACTGGCTGCTCTTTCAGAGGTCCTGAGTTCAGTTCCCAGTAACCATATGGTGGCTCACAACCATCTGTAATGAGATCTGGTGCCCTCTTCCTACATGCAGGCATACATGAAGGCAGTATGTTGTGTACATAATAAATTAATCATTAAAAAAAGAGAAAGACACACCTAATTTTTGCCAACCAAAGACTAAGCATGACCAGACAGCATCTGAGGGCTATAGCTGAGATTACTCTACCGTTCTGTATACTATGTCAGGTTTCCAATGTCCCTGAAATGTGCCTTGCTCTATGCTTTCTTTGTTCTGTTCTATATAGACTTCATGAAACTGTTTCTAAGTTGAAGCATGTATGTTGGGGTAACCTGAATCTGTGTTTCAATGCCATGAACTCTCATATTAGCCTACAGAATAAATTCTTATCCTCTGTGATGGGTGGTGATAGTTGGTTGTTTTTTGTGTTAATAGAGAATAGGTATTTTCCATTCCCATTCTAGGATCATATTCCAGATATTGTTTAGTAAATAAGTTGCTTAAAATTTGAAACATGCTCTCGATAGCAACACATACTTTAACTTCTGGC